TAGAAAAATCTAGCACGGGATATCACGTGGGACATCCCTCACGGTGGAGTGTTGTATTTGATTGCCTAATGTGTAATAATTATGTAGTTCTATTTATCAATTTTAAACTAATAATACAGATGATGGATGATTATGGTGATCACGCTTTCGAAAATCATCGAAAATCATTTGTAATATGAATTCTTGTACAAAAATGAAGAAACTCAGAACTATATTTCGTGCAAAGTTTTGACAGTCTTGGTTATATTAATATATATACATGCTTGTCCAAACACTATTTTGTTATTAACGACGATAAAAGGTCTCTGGAGTCTATATACGTCAAATAGAAAAGAAAAACATCCTATGCCGTCAGTACAAAAGGAAATTCAGAAACCAGAGGCAGCAATCGGAAGCAAATGAACACAAAACACATCATTGACCGACACTCACTCATAGTAAGGTTTCGGATATCGTAATGGATAAGTAAATATCATGCGTACTTGTCAAAAGATCAGACAGAATAGCGGAGGTCGATGAACAATTTCTCGGCAGACATCACGGGCGGCTTATACAATGATGCTAGGGTGATCATGTCAGACGATATCAGTTTATTCAACAGCGACAAGAATGAGACAAATCCGTGAGACGTTCAAGGAATTATACTCATTCACTTTCAATAAATCCTTCAGGCAAAGCTTTATCAATACTAAATCAATTTTAATGTGTGTCACAAATCATAAACGTAATTATTTTTAACATTATCAGGATAAAGTAACGTAGCTCTTAGCTATATTTGATGATTTAGTTCCCTACATATGGGACGGAAGGAGATTAACAGGTATTATCAGTTATACTACTTAAATGGTAATACAACAATCTTCAAATCTTAACAGGGGTGCATAATCGTGTTATCAACTATATTCTGAAAAATATGTTGGAAATACCAATCTTTTAGCTACTAAAAAGAACTTGTTAATTAAAAAAGAGAGATAGAAAAAAATCCTTTTGGTATTTTATAAATCATATTGATGTTTTGAATAAATACACATCCTGTTCGTTTATCCATTAGATAAATCTTCATCATCAATAAAAAAAATGTTGTTCAAAAAAACAATTTGTCTTGATCAATGCATTATTGTAAATGTTTTTATGGATTTTCTTTTAGTTATTAACAGAACTGATAATTAGATGTATATGTTAAAAATCGTTATTTTAATAGCTCTTCCACTAATAGAGATTCTGACAAAATACAGATGTTGTTTCTTGTCTGTTCATTTCATATATCTTTGTAATCAATAAAAATATGTGCAAATGGACAAGATGTCTTGATTAATGCATCACTTTTAGATTTAATGATTGTCCTCTTAAACTGCTCCAGACAGAGTCATAGTGTGATTACTACCCTTTCCATCTCTTGGGAAACCATACAACGCGGATGACTTCAAAGTCATATCAAAGTTCTTTTTCATCGATCACACGGCCAAGTAGAACTTTTTGATTATCTCCCTTAATCCCAAGTCTCTTATATCAACTGCACGCGCAGTGATGGCCGCCTGACCCGTGTCGTGCTTTATTACTCATTCGATTCAATTTGTGAGCTAAATGTTCTTCTACATCAAAATAAGTGTATTGGTAGTGACTCGTAATGTGACGACAGGGAATAGTCGATGTAAAAGATTTCAATGATGGTAAATAAAAGTTAATCAATTTAAGAGGATGGGAACGTTTTTAGGATATGACATTTAAAACACTGTCGGTTAAAACGAATGTGCGTCATCAAATATAAAATAGTAACTCTTTCAAAAATAAATTTGTCAACAAAAAACGCGTGGGAAAAATGAAAAGACTATAAAGTACAATAACCAATAAAGCAACATACTGCTATAAATTGTCGCGATGTGGAAATACTGGCGTTTTGTGCGCTGTGAAAATTAGCGCGAAAAATATCCATACTGGAATATAAATGTACAGATTTAAGGTATATAGAACTATGCCAACACGAACATTCCCACACGGTGATCAGGCTCAAGGGCCAGAAAGCGAATAATTTTTTTACAGTTTTGCAACCCTCTCTTTAAATTATTTTCCTGCCTAAATCCATCTTCGGGAATTGGTTGAAATGTTTGGCAGATATTTCTTTTTTTTATCAACTGCAATAGTAAACCTCGTTAACTATATAGTTCAAACTTGTTAGATTAACAATTTCCAATGCCTTTTTGTGTCTATGTATATAAGGATAATTTTATGAAGGAAATGTTTTCCAGAATCTCTTATTAAAATCTCTGTTAGCGTTCTTCCAGTCTGAAATGAATGAAGACTTTGAATTCACAACTGAAGATTGATATTGGGTAACAAATTCCCATTTCGTTTTATTTTTCATGTTATGATATTCTTTATGACATATTAACACAATAAGGTACACTTGTACCAAAGTACCAAACGCAAGAACATTGTTAAACATATAATGTACACTGAACGATGATATAAAGAACTGATTATTAGAGCGGTTACATTTAGTTAGTTTAGATTGCATTAATGTCATTCCAGTACACAAAATGTATAAACAGGAACGCCGGTTTTGCAAGGAACCTATTATTAATCACATCGTGTGATCATGTAGTGTAATACAGTAGGCCAAGTGCGTCTCTTCAAATCTGTAGGTTTATCAAGGGCCTTTAAACACGTGAATTATCCAACCAATTCATAAAGAGTACAGATAGCGTTTTACCTCCTAATCAATGTAATTGCGTAGGGATGTTCTCCAGCAGTCCAGTGCGTGGAAAAAACCTGTTAAAGATATGTAATCAGGTTTTGTGAGACAAATTGGATATTGTTTTAAAATTAGTTTCGTACTTCTGCAGTCATTACGACGTTAGCTGTCAAAACGGAATGACTTTCGTCTGAACCGGTGTGAATTTAATGGTCCGATAATGTATAAATCACTTCCATTATCAAAAGTGCATGTTCCCGATTATTTGTCAGTTTTATCACGCAATCAGATGAGACTAAACATTAGCTTTGATAATGCAAATATCTCATTAAATTGATTTCGCTAGATTTAACAATCATGAAAATCTAAAAAAATAATTTCTACACCAGATTTGGTTTGATGCAATCGCCAACATTTACTTAGGTAATCAACAACGAGCCAGTGTTCATGTTTTGGAATGCAAATATAGCTATTTACACTATAAAAAGGAACTAAGCGGAGGTTGGTTATAGTGATATCACAACAAAGCTATAAACGGGGAATGTCATGAACGATCTACACTATATATGTAAATAATCACTGTCTATTTCAAGTTTTCTGAATTGAAAGATTTCACAAACAGAAAACTGAGATGTTTATATAGTTTTGTTCAGGAACTGTTTTTATTTTTTTTTATTTTTTTAGAATACCGAAGGTCTGGTTGACTTAACGTTATAATTTCTAGAAAGTTACTAAAGAATCAATGTCCCACTGCACTGTGTTTTTCGTATTTATAGATACATGTACATAGATACATACATTTATTCTGACAAAATTAGGATTTTTAAAATCCTTGGACAGTCAGCTCTGAAATAATAATAGTAATAATAATAAAAAAAAAAAAATTTCAAAAGTTGCGACGTTCAGGAATGGTTTTTTCTTTAAAACTGTATTTCTGCGCTTGTTCATCTCATTTACATTCAAATTGTTTAACTGTGCTTGAATTCACAACATTTGACGGAAGATGTACCATAAATCAACAGTTTTCTGTGTAACCGAAAATTCTCTAACATTTAATCTTGAATGCGATTTGTAAATTTTAAAGTTGTGTCCACGTGTAGATGAACTTTCCCTGATATTAAAAATTGTATTATATTATATATTATAGAAACATTCCCTCCATTTGTTTAACTCTTTCCGTACCGTTGTCGTGTACACACGACAACAATATGTCATCCTGGTCCCCGTTGTCGTGTACAGACGACAACAGACTTTGGTGTAACTTGTCTTGTGGTTAGCTGGTTATCGCACACGACAATAGCGTAATAAAATCAGCACCCATCAGTTGAAAGAAATAGTTTTATAACTGCAGTACACAATTTATGTTTTATGACCCATCGTTTTCGAATCTGTTTGCGTTTGGTGATTCCAGTATAAACAATATGGCGGCAACTTAATTCGATATGAACACTCGCAAATTCATCACCAAATATTGTCTTAGACTTATGAAAGTAAATATGAATTTTTTTAAATAAGTCCTAATGAAATCTACTTGTAATTAGAAAAAAAAAATGACTTCATATTCGTAAACAATAATCAATCCCTATTAGGAACCTCCACTACAACGCTGTTTGGAAAACAAGGTTTCGTATCGTTTGTTGCCGAACAAATGTCGATTTCTCAGTCCTAACTGGCTGCCAGTTAGTCATAATGCTGCGAAAATGAAGAGGTGTGTGTCTATAAACAACAACTTGAAACAAGAACGATATCTGTTCACGGTTACCTGTTCAATTCTTGCAGCGATTAAAACTCGTCTAAAAAGAACATTAATAATCCGCCATTTTGTTAAATTTGCGCGGGGGCGAGTCTAGTAAGGACATCCGGTACGTAATCCGGACCGGATTTGCGGTACGGAAATAGTTAAACACCAGTGTAATATCTCGCTAACGTCATTGACATTTCATTCTTAACGGTCCACTGAAACACCTTATAGTAATACGTCACATCGGTGCTGTAATGTAACTCAGGACCAAACGGGAAGTTCCTGGTAGGCTTACCTTCAATGGTAGGCTTAAGAGACATTGAAGGTAAAAATGCTGCGGAGGAAAAAAACACATTTAAAAACAAACATCCCATGGACTTCAATACTTTATAGTTGTATTGCTCTATGCAACGTCTCCTAAGCCAAGGACCCTAAATAGGACCTTGAAATTGTAAAACGGGTGCACGTGAACCTCCACGAAAAACGTTCAAACTGCAGGGTAGGGGACACATTAGTCGCCACTTAACTTGCTGATATATACAGTTTGTAATGATATGTGTGTTTTAGGTCCTGAAAGCATGCAGTCCGGTCTTGATGCGTATTATTCTAGTTGGAGCATTCCTCCTGTATTGTCCGGTAAGTAATCTTATCTTCTGTAAGTGATTAGCACTTCGGCATAAATAAATAGAACAAAAAGACATCACCTCAGGCAAAATATTTGTCGCATCGTTATGTCCGTTTGTCATATTCATTACATGCTTTCAATTGTACGTGTATTATATACATGATGAGTAATGCGTATATATCCAATAAGTATGTGCACTGAAGTAGGAGATGCTGCTTGATGAAGACTATGGTTAAATGATATGGTCACAATCATTATATCACTGGAAAGGATTATTTTTGGGTGGTCGGTTGGTGCAGTGGATAGCGCACTTGCCTTTCACCAAGAAGGCCAGGGTTCGATTCCCCAATCGGACGTGAAAAGGTTGGGGTCACCTGCCGGATCACGTAGGTTTTCTCCGGGCACTCCGGTTTCCTCTCACACTAAGACCCCCTTTGCGCTAACATCGTGCCAACAAGAGTGATTAATATAAGTTGAAATAACTTGTTTCATAATTGTTGTAAAATAAGTAGACTTTACTTATATATATAAGGATTATATTTCCTTTTGTGGTATGAAGGTCGAAGTGTATGATTTTCCTTGTTAGCAGTACATTATGGTTTCTTCATCACAACCCGAGTTCTTCAATTTCAGGACGTGACATTATTTGTATTAAATTTTGGCGGGAGTTGCAACTTCACTACACCGTGGTCCTTATTCATGAAACCGTCTTCATATTCTTTTAACTTCGATTTTCTGTTTAAGCTCAAAGTAGTTATCCGCGTATACATTAATGAAAGATCACATTTGGTTGATTATTTGAAAGAATACTGGACAGACCCAGTACCATTTTTAATGTTTACACTTGATGTTTAAACATGACACATGATTTAGGCGAGTTACCGGAAAGTCGGAGTGATCACCTAATCCATGCATTAGAACGAGAACTGTTTCATGAATACGGGGGCTTGTCTTATTTATCGTTGTGCTTTTTCAATTACCTCCATATATCTTTGTCCTTTATTCGTATTCTTGCATAGTTTTATCGAGTTGAATTAGACCTAGGATTAGGTGTGTGCACATCTGAGTATTCTTTCTTTGTTCTTAATAACAAGACCAGAAGATTTAGTGAGAAATAACCTTTGCTCGTAGTAACATCCGTGGCCATCGTCTTGATAATAAGTGTTTTAGGCACTGGCCAGGACCTTAATTCATAAGCAATCAATCAATACATGTTCATCAAATTATTTTTCTTTGCAGTGATGTTTTGACATTTGCTCAATGCTATTGCTTTAAAATGATTGTATTGCTAAATATGCAAAGGGAAAGCTGATTACAGTGAGTCAATAAAGGGAGATAATTCGAATGCCTTCGGTACATGTGCCCGTTCAAGAATCTCCAATGCTATTTTATAATGTTTACTTCAGCCGGAGATTGACTCGTTGCAACAAGTACGTCAATCGACATGCATGTATCTCGTTTTATTCCATTTTCAGGATTAAGGCATGACCTTGTATTTCGTTGTATTTCTGTTGGTCACATGACATCAATATATTGATATGTTTTATACGTTTCTTTGCAGTTGATCGTTGGGTACTTCGAAGCAACGGTCATCACTTGCATTTTGAAGTTTTGGTTTAGAGAAATCGGATTTTCAATATCGTATGGGGCCCTACTTTTGAAAACATGGCGGTAAGTGTATTATTTTTACCTTGAACTAATGTGTCTCCGACGTAACAAGGAAGTAGGCTTTTATGTACTCTGAGACTAGTTTGTAACAGTCGCACAGGATGGTGGGAGTATAGCCTATAACTAGCACGAAGAAAGAAAACAAAATGAAAGCATAACACAATGATTCGATGGATGTATCGGAAATTGAGTCTATATATTTTCGGATATAAAGGCTCAGAAGCATTTCCTTCTGGCAGCTTGGTCGTTTAATGGGTCGCCACAATAAATGACACTAGGTCAAGGTTGAAATGTTACATGCCCCGAATGTGCATTAACCCGTATGCATGGCCACGTTTTATCGATATTTCAAGCTAGACAAACAGTAATAGCATTTGCATTGTAGTTATAAGAAAAAAAACACCAAGTAAATTATATATCCTAAATGAATATATAATTCTAGATTGTCGGTGTTAGCATTTCTAATTGACAATAGTTAGGCTATATAACATGTCGCTTTAACCTTTACCAGGAATATTCATTTCGGGCAATTACATTCATTTTTAAGTAATAGGCCAATACGTTCACCTTGACGTCACGATTGTTTCAAGTATAACCTGGGTTATTAATATCATTATTCTTTTTGAACTAAAGTTCAAACTACTCTTCCTAAATATGTACATAGTTAGTCATTTGCATGCAATCAGTATGGTTATTTGAGGTCAGCACGAAAGGTCAACGTGGTGTTACTATATGTAATAGTGGTAGGGATTATTGCCACGCGTCCGTATAATTTGGAACTCTTTTTAAATACTTCATCGAGGCGATACTTTATAAATAACAGATAATTAACAAGAATGAAAATTTAATATATCAGCATCACATATAAATCACTTGTCAGAAATATTGTCCAATGTTGTATCCTAAGTATAAAAAACCCAACATATTTGGTTTTGTTTATTATTGTATACGTAGTTTGTTTAAGGATTCTTGTACCACTGCACTGTTGGTTTACGTACATACAGTAACCTACCCTAAATTTTGCTATTGATGTTACTGGATCACAGTTGATCCAAAACACTTCCGCTGGCTCTATAGCTCAGTCGTTAGAGCAATTTTAGAGAGAAAAAAACAAAGCCAATGTCATTCCGGAAAAAAAAAGTTTCCGACGCGTAATTACAGTTTTTTGCAGTGATTTTTTTTATCTAGCACATATATTTAATGAACGCCAAAATTAAAGTAACAATATTTAACTTATGATTTCTATGAATCATCTGATCTTATTTATTATTGGTTTTTCACAGAATTTCCGTTGTCTTCCGGGTGAGGTCGGCTCAGCGTGTGAAAATTTCAGACGCAGATCTCATCAAACGTCTTCTTATCATCATTTTCATCTGCGCAGCTTATCTCACTGCCAGGACCATAGCGGGTACACCAAGGGTGATAGAAGGTCAGTTTGACATACTGTATACCGGGGAAATTTTCGCCCAGTAAAACTTTCGCCCTTCGCCCATAAAATCAACTTTCTCCCAGTGTGTAGCAGTTTCGCCCTTCACATTCAGTTGCTTTGTATGTTATGTTGTTTACTTATATCCGGCGTAACGATAAATTTGCCCTCATCATGGAGGGCGAAAAGGCAAAAATTAAACTGCAGCGAAAATTTCCCGGATTACAGTAATAGTTTTATACCTTTTAAACCTCCGACTTCAGCGTGATGTGTTGCGTCACTTGTTTGCACATGTATATTGAAAGGTTGGTCAACATGGCAGATTATCTGTCTGCCAACAATTTCGTTTCATCTCTGCAGGTTTTTCCAAAACATATTATTTTCATCACACCACAGAAACTTTGCACTGTTTTGTAAGAGAAAGAAAACCATTCTTAACCGAATCATTCTATCGGAAATCAATGCCGTTGAAGATCCCTTTGGTCAAATATTTTGACGGATCTCGCTGCAGAATGTCACTATGTTTTTAACATCACCATTATTATTAAACAACACAATGATATATGTCTTGGTAAGAGGAAGGTTAAAATCCTACAATCTACAGTAACTAAGATTTTGCTCAATATCTTCTTTGCCTTGTATCATATGCAATAACAAATTTTATAAAAGAATGCATTTACCTTCGCGAATTCGCTCAAATTTAACGGGATCTATCGCAGGTCTACAGCACGTATGCTACCTTAACGATATATTTTATATTTAGTTCGTGGTTTGTATGTTTTTTGCGGAACAGTTGCTTCAACAAAATAAGAGATAGCGAAAAGCAAAAGTACCATGGCAACAAAATGGAAGGGCAATATTGGTACTCAATTACAACAAAATGCAACACTGTGAACCTCAGGCCAACGAAACAATAGGGAAGGTATCATGAATAAATCTTTTCTTCTTTCAGGTCGTAATGTAGATGACCTGAAGGCGTTCCAGTGTTCGGCAGATTGGTGGGACCATTCGGCAGCTATAGGTATTGATAATACATTTACAATATCGATAAGACATCTACTATATCTATAAGACCAAGTATTACACTAGTATTTCATTTCGTTCATGATTTCCCGCACAATCACCTGGAGTAGGTTTGTCAGTTGTCAATGTACCGCTTAATGAAACTTTAACAATATCAAAAAGTGTTTGCTTTGTGTTGGTTTCCAATGAGACAAAACAAATGTTGTCATGTCACGTTTCCTATGCTTATTTTTTTTCTTTTTTTCTTCCATTATTTGAAAAATAAGAAAAATATATTTAAAGTATAAGACCAGTCCTAAAAAAAAAAAAAGATCTCTTATGCATTCCGGTCTATTTTGATTTATCATCTCATTTAAAACTCATAAGAAAATTACTTAATAATAGAAAAAATACAATTACCTTGAATCCGCAGTAAAGCTTCGGTATATTTATGCAGTAAAATAAAATAACTTTGCTTTACCAAACACATTTTTTTAACGTGTTCCTCGCTATACAGGCTATATTCTTCTTACGCATATTGCATATAGACTAGTCCTCTATCTACGCATTACAAGAGCATGGCTCTAGTGCAGGTGGCAACCAATAAAGAAAGGGTTTTAAAGCAAATGAAAAAAAAATTAAAAAAAATATACGTGTGTTATTTTTGTCATTTTTATGGAGAATGACACACATAATACAAAACCAGTTACTTATATTTTTATACTAAATTCGTAAAAGTATTTAACTTTTTCGTTTAAAGAAATAACATTACAAGTCATTGTCTAAATGATGACTTCGATTCTGTTCATGTAGTGTATGTACATGTAGCTGAAGGTTTTACAACGCCATATCGTAACATCAGATATGGGTTTTTTTGTGGAAAAGGTGAAAACGAGATTGAGCGATGTCTGTCCTCCTAAAAACGCTCTCATACTATCAACTGATATATTTATACGAAACTAAATGAATATGATTTGCTGTGCAATATACACTAACACGTATATTCCCATCAGACTAGCGCTGTCAGAAGCTATTATGCTCCATGATTGAAATATGCTCGACAGTGTTTAGTTCATTTGACCTGTTGTCCTGTATCAGCAGTATTTTTTTAAAAATAAATACACGACATTATAAACACATATTAGTGTTGTTCAAATTAACACTATAAATAGCGTGGCACGTTATTTAGGTTCGACTCATTCCACCAACAGTTCACTTTTGATTTATTTTTTTTAACTTTTTTTTTAACTTTTTATTTAGTAATTTTATTTTATTTTATCAGCAGTATTGTTGTTAAATGATTTGCATGACATTTCAATTATTTTGTCGAATGTAAATCAGAGTGCGCTTTTGAATAGACAATGAGGTAATGACGTAATTTTCTGAAGTAGTTGACTATACTTTTATCAGTATTATCATCATTACATCATTGATATTCGTCGTTAAATTAGATACACAACGTCGAAGTTTATTACTGTCAATTGCGACATAAGGTTAATCTAAATTTACAAGAAGCAGCGAATTCGAATTAATGTTTTTATAATAAAGTCAAACGAGGTTGTCATCGCAATGCAGGGTTCTGTTATTTAATTTGTTGGTGTTTAGAATTTGTTGAAGCACACTTCAATTGTTGGATTTCAACATGATGCATTTAGTGATCAACGCGTGTATATTCATACACCGAGTTTCTATTATTTCATTGTCGAAGCATCAACATATTAAATGCGAGAATATACCACTTTTTGAAACGTTTTACTCATGTTGGTATTTGACCATATGTTTTGTTCGCTCAAAGGGTAGACTGGCAACAAGTTTTATGAAGAATTTCCTAATTGCATTTTACTAATAGCTTATCTCCCCGTAATTTGAGTTTATACAATCAAATAGCCAATTGACCGGAATTATTAGCAGTCTATGCTCGAGGCAATTTAACGAATTCCCATTGTGCCATGATGTGAATTATCTCTAATAATTGTATATTCGATGCATTAAACATTCCCGGTTTGACAATAATTCAAATGCGAATTAACAGGATAGATTTATAACAAAAAGGACAGTGTTTGTAACAAGAGGCCCAGGGGGCCTGTATGGCTCACCTGTTTCGTTTGTTACATGCAACTGACATATAGGTACAATGTGACTTAAGACCAAATTTGTCAACTAGAACATTTTAACATCTCTTAACTGTTCTTAAGATATTGTTGTTTGAACGTTGAAATTTAATTTTAAAGCTTTTAACGCATGCTGACATTTGACCCCTGACTAGCACTTGAAGTTGACCTTTGACCTCATTACTGTAAATGATAATAATATTCGCACTGCTGAACTACATAATGCACCATAATGTATCATGACCCTAGTCCGAACGGTTCGCAGGATATTGTTGTTTGAAGTGTTTAACATATTTGACCCATGTGACCTTTAAAGTAGGTAAAGGTCATTTTAATGAGGAAAATGTATAGCACTCAATCCCAGGTACCTACTGAAAAAATAGCAAGATCCTAGGTCCTCCTGTTCTCCAGAAGAAGTCGTTCAAAAGAAAAAGTTGACGGACGGACGACGGACGCCGCAGTACGGCATAAGCTCTTCATAAAAATCCTTTTACACTGTCAGTTATCGGGCCAGGTGAGCTAAAAATGAATAAAAGAGAGTGAACGTGTTCTGTGAAATCAGATATTTTGGTGGAGCCCAAGTTTCGTGGTTTCCCGACATAACACCATTTCGTGGGTACACGAATTCGCGGATTAGGAGTACCCACTAAAACGGAGAATTGCTTAATATCAAACTTGTAATCTACGGATTTAAGATAAAAACTTTAGTGATTTCATAGTATTAATTCTTTTTTGTATCTTTTGCAGCGGAATTAATATTCCTACTGTGGGGGATACGCTTGTGTATTGTGGTACGAAAGGCGCCTTCAGAATTCAACGAGAGTCGATTTATAAGCTGGGCCATCTACAACGAGACACTGCTTTCCTTATTTCTTAATGTTTCAATGTAAGTCCTAGTTTTATTTTCTCTCTTCCAAGTACATACCCGTAGCTCATATTGAAATTAAATAGTTATGTATAAATATTTTTAGTCTCTGTCTGGTAGTCCGACATATTTGCAATCAATTTGAAAACCGATACTTATCATTATGGACTATTCTTGAGGTGAATATGTGTTCATATGAACCTGAACATGATCTTGACCGAGACGAAGTCGAGTTCACTATAACTTTTCAGGTCCATCTTACCACATATTAGGTTAAAGTCTTTAAACGTTATATTAGATTTAAAAATAAATGTTGTATTTGTTACCAAAAATTATAGAAAGTTATATAATCGCCAAGAGAAAAGTACTACATCTGGCTCAGGGTATTGTCGCGCTACCATTGAAGTGACGTCATGCACGGAATATTTACCTGGTGTTTCTGAGAAGAATAAATAGTAGTAAATATCACAAATAACTAGAAAATCTTGCGTTGGTCGTTTGGAACATTTTTATAAATACATAACTGACTGTCTTATAATTTTATGAGTCCTTTGATAACAAGTCAAGTCATATTTCAATAATGAGAGGGCGTTCCTTGCTAGAGCCTGTGGATGCGGACTCCACGAAAAAGAACGATTGCTAACGAGTATTGACTGCGGCACACATATCTAGCGTTCGCGTACCCCACCTGATGGATATCCTTACCCTAATCCTCGGGTTGAGTAACCATTCTGAAGGAAAAACTTTCCATCCGCAACAGTGTGTCAGCATTGACGTTTTTCATCCTTGCTATTTGTGCTGCCGTGATCTGTAACTTTTTTCGGGAACTAATGACCATAAATCCCAAGCCTTTTGACAACAGGGCTCGACATTGACCAAGTACCCTGTGTTAATTTATTGTCCATATACAATCTTCGGGATGCTTGGTATTGAACTGTGCAATATTTAAATGTTTATCTTTTAACCAAGCCTTCTCAATCTCATCCCCTCGTCCCTTATTTGAAAAAAAAGAAACATTATCTAAACGTGATTCCATCATTTACTACCATTCTATTGAAGCTTTTTATCTTTATATGTGATTTAGAACACATAATTTGACTAGTTATGAATATTTTGATGAGATCTCCGAAGAAAATACAAAATACAGAATATATCCGTGATGGAATCTAACGCGATATGCCGGAGCTCACTCTGCAAAATGGCGCAATTTAATAACTGCTAACTTTACACAACAATGTTGCGCGGCATATGAAATATTCACTTTACCCGGACATATACTTACCTGTCATTGACAAGCTATATCATGCCAGCAAAAAACTAGATTAATATCGGTGCAGTCGGATTGGTACACAAACAATCAATGCACATATTTTTATATAGAAAACAACACTTAAACACTTCAGAATATTTACCAACATTGTTATATAAGAATTGAATTATAAAATTTGTTGTTTTTGTCCTAGACAAATATGTTTTGCTTGACGTAGATACATAATTATGAAAGTACATTCACCCCAACTAAGGAAAATATTTTATATAATAATGATCAATTTTATTAAATTGATGCCACGTCATTATAAAAACAAACTTCCGGTGCTAATGAGAATGTCTGAAAGTCAATTAATGAGGTGATTTAATATATATAGTCTAGTCCAGCCAGAGTGGTATCACTTTGTACGTAAAATGTAACAGGTCTTCTGCGACAGTATAGCACATTAGAAGTGGGGAAAAAACATTAGCTTACGTTAACACGACCCTTGTGTCTATATTAGTTAACTTCTTAAAGGGAAAAGATGGAATGGTGACACATGGAATTATACAATCAGTCGTTGTTCAATGTGGTCCATTATTTGTGACAAAGATCTGCGCAAGCGAACGGGGAATAATGCTATTATTGTGTGTATCAGTAATGTGTTCGTTCTATATTACACCAATTTACATATTAGTTTAGACATTTATGAGATTGATATTCCGGTAAGTTTAAACGAAATGTGTTCCATCGTGCAAACTAAAAAGATTTATTCAGCATTTAACACATTTATGTTATGCAAGAAACGAATGTAAATTGATACAGCCCTTGTGATTGAGTAAATCTAGACAGGTTTGTTTTATCATATTAGACATGTGTAGCAATAAATTGATGGAAGCGTTTTTACACTTTCTAGAAATGATAACGTAAACCCCTATTTATAACCTGTTACAAAAAGCCGAAATGAAATCAGAAAAAAACAAAGATAACCATTCCTAAAAATATGGGAAAAACACAATGAAAACACTTTGAAAAGTTTATTTGTATTCTTTGTTTTTTTCAAAAACCGATTTAAAAATAAAATATTTAATGTGTATACAGCTTTGAAGGAAGTGTTGTTTTCGCCGAAACTTTAGTTAATCAGGAAATAAGTGTAGAATTCACGGAAACATATCAGTCAGTCGGCTCTGTTTTTTACTTCGATTATGCTATCATGTGATTCTCACGTGACATGTCTACGCTATCAGCTTTTTAGTCTGCTATGGACTGGAAAATAGAATAAAATCACCTGTAACGAGCACAATACATAAACATATTCGTAGTCTTGTTTTCCCCTTTTGCCAGGAAATGTATCTTACAAGAACGATTCGACTTGAATATTTCGCTCCGTTGTAGAATTTTGCCATTGAATTCTTCCGCAAAAAGCGCGAAAATAATCACTGCCTTTAATTATACATTATACAGTAATCTTCTTAAAATTGTAAACTTGTCATATCCTTCACAGGTGTTATATTTTTTCCATTAATCTCAATAATACATGTATTGTTTAGGACTTCGTCCTCTCGAGTTTGTTAAATATTCTGTCTACTTAATTTTTTATTTCATCCATATTCAAGTTCGTTAACTTGTAGCTCCAACTAATGTTTGCGATTATTGATTATTAGGAATGATACACTTTAGTATGCATGTCAAGTTATGCTTCCAGGAAATGTTCTTATCACACTCGAACTATATCAAGGTTTTATAACCTCTGACAGGTTTTAGTGTATATCAGTTCATACATGCAAGATTCATTAATATTCATAAAAAAACTTTTGTTTTTGATGATTCACTAAACAATATAATTCAAATAACTTCTGGTTCGGAGTACTGACATTTCTAACGTTGTTTTTTTCATTCTTTTACAGGATTTTTTTACAAGATCCTTTCCCCACGAATCCGGATCTACTGCTACTAGTACTATTTATACACACACAGCTAACTACCACCGTTACATTAGCATTTTTGTTTGGGAGTAAGGTAAGCACTCGATGACATGATTGTTGCTGTAACAAATTAAAAACAAATATCAAAAAACAATATTGTTTCATGAATTTGTTGTCGGCATTTTTATTTTATTTTATTGTTAGTTATATGCAAATTGATTCAAACAAATAGATTTTCAATGATGATATTAAAAAGATCGATTTAAGTTCAAGTTGCAAAATTGCCGATATTGCATATGTTGTTCTTGCTGCATTATATAATTCGGAAAAAAGAAAGTATTATTCGCTTGTATTTCGAACGGATTACGAACAGAGGTCAAATCATATAACAGCTTTTCATGTTAAGGATGATAAAATATTACTTGGAGTTGAACTAGATTTACGACAGTCGATAAAACAGAAGATGCTTGCCCTTTTGGAACACCTGGTCTTATTCTCTCTTTGAACAAGGATATCTCATGTCAATCCTTTCTTGGTTCTTTTTTCCCCCTATTGTCATCAGTTCTGGGTTCGAATAGCTGTGTTGTTTACCAGTCGGTATTCTCATTTTTCTCTCCTGTGTTCAGAAATGTGGTTACCGATAAAACCTAAATACCTATTGTACCTATTGGTAAAAAAGTCATACATTTATGACTATATAAGGGGCGTTTGCCTTTTGTTGTTCTTTGTAAATAGTTTTAGAACACTTTGCACATCATTCGTTGGTATTTAGTACCATAGAAAAGTCCTCCAAGGAGCAATAAATACTTACTTTATATGACTTTCTATGCTGACGTATTACATCTTTAGATATATGTTTCCTTACTTCATATTTCAAGTTATTACTTAACATTTCAGGCTTACCTGGTATACAAGGGATACAAGGGAGAAAACAGCAACCATACAACGATGATAAGTAAAGGTTCCAAGCAGCACCTCAATTCCAATAAACCCTCATCGACCCTCAATACTTCCGTATGTAACTCCTCCTGTAACTATAACTACTCGGAAAAGGGGGACGAAGCGGAGTGTGAGAGCTTGTTAGAAAAAGATATTCAGGTAGGTAGCGCTACACCAGGCTAAGATTGCAAAACATTAGCCAAACGCTATTCTTGACCAGGGTTGAAAAATAGCGGAGTGTGGAAGCTTGTTAAAGAATGATTTTCAGGTAGGTAGTGCTACGCTATTCTAAGCCAAGGTTGACAAAAAGACAAATGACTAGTCATTTCCTTTTGTGTGTCTTGAGTGCGACATAAAACAATAAATTGTTATCTTAAGACAATATTTGCATGATACTTGCGACGAGATAGTTGGTTCTTGGTACGAGATACAATGAATATTCATGCAGATTCTAATGCACGAAAATTATTGGATACCAAATCTGAATAATCTTTTTATTCATTTATAATTCAATATAATGTTGTTTATATGGATATCAGAGTTTCAAAATGGTCCTAAGTAACTATTTATTTTGATAAATGAAACCTGAAGTTATACTTTGATTTGGTTTCGTTATTAAGGATCCGTTAGCTTTATTTTAATATAATAAGTTGTTTTTATACTTTTTTGTTGATATTGATAATTAGATTAATATCAATATTCGTTAGCCATTTTTTACTATTATTAACATATATTTGCTGACATTTCTGTTGCACGTCTTTTGAACTAAGAATGTTATGCTATGGAAGTATCTTATGTTTAAAGAGTATGCCTAGTTAAGTAACACTACGATGAATGATGAGCTTGTGATCTTTAAAAATACAAGTAAAATGAAATAAAAAAGATCAGAAATAAATCACAAGAATATCGTTCCTCCTAGCGTTAATCAGTAGCGCTACTTACCAGGTGTATCTTTATGAATGGGAAAATATAGGATAACCTACCCTTGAAATAATGCTTCCCAAAGACTTTTAATGTGTTGTTCAATCATACAGCAATTCAAAAATGTCTTGGTCTCATCGTTGATGGGGTCACAGTGATATATCAATTTCCTAGCATTCAATCATTCATATAATTTATGCCAAAACATTTAAATATGTGCTAATTATCATTTTCTGCTAAAGTGTTTAATCTCTTTATGCACATATCACAAAAATAAGACAGATTTCTTCAACATTTAAGACATATATTGCATAATAAGATAAATATTAAGGGCATCTAATCTCGTTGTATCCCATTGTCAGCAAGTATTGTAATTACATGAAAAAATTATGTGAATTATGCATTTGAAAAGTAATGGTACTTGCAGTATCTTGCATGATTTGCAAGAGAAAAACAAACAACGAATAGCACTTAACGAATAGTTCTATATACCGATCAAACTGGTCCTAGAGATTTCACTATCTACATATTCCAGCTTTTTATAACATCTGGTTTCCAAGGATGGCAAAGAATACCTCCATTTAAAGACGTTTAAGATTCTCTGATTGCTCTGAATGGCTTTAAAGAGAGTGCATTTATATTTAGCGTATGTCGATGTTATTAAAGATATTTTCCCCCTTGTGAAACAAACTGTACACATGAATGTTTAACTTGAATCATCATAGGTTTAATTGGGGAACGGTTTCCGTGCCCATTGCTTTAGCTTACACCTTTGTTTGATGTATCACACAGGTAAATCTTTGTAGCCTGATTGTCTGCGTAATATTGGACGGGGTATATAGTGTTCCCAATGGTCGGTTTCGTATCCTCTTTTCGCGTCATGACTCTAACGATAAAATCGAACGGTCATTTTCTAGTTTTTGTAAACCCGATTAAATTTCTAACCATTTCCAGGTACAGTAAATCCTTGCCTACTAAAATACAGAGGTATTGGTTTAAACTTTTTTATTCTAATTTTGTTTGACAATACATCGAAGAACATGTTTTACAGAACAGAAAAGGAAAGAAAAACAAGAGTCGTGACACTTATGTAAAATTGTTACCTGCTTAATAATAAATTTTTTCAACACTAGCTACAAGAATGAAGTAATATGAACAATAGAATAATTACGGGAATATGGGAAGGGGTAATGGATTGGATATGCAGTGGAAACCAGGAATGAAACCAATATACAAATGATCATCAGATGGTAATTTAATATTGCTCTATTGCAATGATTATGTGGAACACGATTCTGTAAAATATAACTATGCAATAGTTGATGAAAATTTCAGCAATGCTGTAAATGGACACTCGATTAAGGTTAAACTGTATATACAAGTTACATAGAATAAATCACCACTAAATCATCTATTGACAAAATTAGTATGTCACAAAGCACCGCCATGATTATAAAAAAAAACGTTGCAGTTCACATACTAGCCATCACACTTATCAAATATAAGTCCATAAAACACTTTCCCGCCTCGTCCCTGGCACGTCCTGCTCTTTCAAGGTAACACATCACGTTATCAAACTATCATAATCATGGCCAGTTAGTGACATAATATGGTATGAAGAAATGCAATGGCAAAATCACTGAATAAGCATATAAATCCAAATACATTTTAAAACATAGCAGTAAAACGAATGCAACACAATATACATATATATACATGTCAAAATGAAATTGTTAAAGGACTAATCGTTCAGTTCAAATCTTTTAGTTTTTAGTATATAATTTTGGACGGCTAGAAAAATTGTAGTGTTTTCTTAATGGGTAAGAGAGTCATCACCAAAGAGTAAAAAATGAGTAGATAGTTGATAAGGCAAACTCAGAAAATGAAGCTGTCTAAGTGCTGTATATTTATTACATTTTAGCAAATAATGTGTTGAGTTCTCAATTGCAACGTATGAACAATTCGGGGATGGTATGATGTTTTTCGTGAACAAGTGTTCTGAGCTACAGAGCTATTCATGCATTGGAAAAAAATCTTCAAAAACGGCATCGCTACAACATAAAATAAAACTAGTTCTAGTTTCTGATAATCATTATACTTAAGCTAACAGAGTAATCAGTTAGGTATTTACTTTTGGACACAAATAATAAAGATGTTATTCAATCGCCACATACATTGTACCTGATTATTTCCACGGCACCATATATGTGACCTACATGAGACAAGTGTTAGCGGCCAGTAATATGAGCGATGCTTTGTGACAAAAAGATGTGTCATTTCTGTGGAATACATAGTAATTTAACACTAATGGCGCCTGTCTCACATTTCTTATGACTGTCGACCATAAAGAGTTCTTAATATGATTCACACCAATACGACACGGTATTCCCGTTGGCGAGTATTTATGTTTGTAGGTCACTGTTTCATATATATATTTTAATATTAGGAGCCTTAAATAAGAGCAAATAAATGTGTTTGATGATGAAATTACTATTGTCAAACAATACACCAAATTACATATTAATCTTACTAGAACTGTTTTTTAAGTAACCCACATAACGCTAAACTCATGATTCTAACATCGTTAACTGTTATTAATTACCAAAAGAAAGTGTAATCAAATAATTCGGATACTATTTAAACAAAGTAAACATCTTAATAAATACGGGATCTCAAAACAGAAACATGGTCATCCATTAATTAGTCCTGTTTTAGGGTTCACCTAGATGAAATGATATCTTGTGCTAGTTATTATTGCAACGTAGATCATTCTCAAATAGTGCTTTCATATATTGCTGCTAGAATTTGTCTTATAACTAGGACATGTGTGTTGATGATGATGTTAAAGAGTTTCTTTAAATAGGCTGCCACGTACTTTCCATGATGAATGAGAACGTATTATAGATTTTGCAACATCATGAAGTAAGTCATGAAAATTGAGTTGAATTTTCATACAACATGCAAACCAAGATGTTGGCGGCCATGACATATTTCTTCGATTCATTTGATTAAATTAAAAAAATATCAACAAATTGAAGTTTATAATACTTACACAGATACCAAACACTGCAAACTTACACATTTTAGCGGTAGTCCCATTTTAGCCCTTTCCATATTGCGTTAAGTTATTAAAACGCCAATTGAAGTTATTGTTTATTGCTCGCTATTGCATGTTTTTTGGAGTGCGCCGATCATCAATGCGCTAATCTATTTAAGTTCGATATTGCGCTAAAATTTGTTTGCGCTATTTTGATATCTATCACAAAAGCGAATGTCTGCAAAATACTTATTTGACTAAGCTGGTTGTCCAACATCGGTCCTGGCCTGATCCCCCAAACACTAGATATAATATAATGACGTGGTTTTTTTTATATCATAAAACAAGACAGGTTGTCACCAAAATATCACGAAAACGTGCCGCATTTCCCAGGAATATTGCGAAGCTACTAATGAAGAACCTTCATGAAAGAATAAAAAGCTGACGTTTCGAAAAATGATCACACTGAATCAATATCACAATTAAGCAACCTCGACGTGATAATAAACGAACCAATGATAATGAAGAATGAAAGAAAATGGTATGATGCCATTTAAAGAAAAATGAAATTTGTAAAATAATGAACCGGAAGGAATGCATAAACCACATTACACAAGTAGATGAGTCTGTAAAGTCAGCGTCTGAAACACATTCTTATATTTGTTTATATTTTTTCAGTTGTTTTCTAAATTATTTTTTTCTTATGTATCAATGTCACATGTGCAAATGATCAAACTGGTAAACATTTTCAACAAATATTTTCAACTTATGAAATTGAAAAGATTACAACCTAGTGTGAGAACTATCTAATATACACAAATCATATATGTTTTCCTTCACAGAGTATCGTCCTTGATTAAATATGAGTAAATTATGAATGGTACATGTCCTTTCTCTCCGTCAAAGTGCTTTAAGAATATGCTTTTTTGGTTTGTGAATTATTTTTTATCAGAAAAACATGGCCCATTTGATTCATCGCTATGTCTTTTATTGTTAGTGTTGGTCTGTTTAAATACCTTCTCTCGAAATTGAAAGTGAAAGTCAAGTTTTCTATAATCCGTATGCGTCGTTCGAATGATTTATGAAATATGAATGAGTGGTTCATATATCAGTAACGAGGGAGAACTCGGTAATATATGATAATTACAGGGATAGTATTGCTCAGGACATCTTCAATATGAATAATGTACATCACGTTTGTTTCCTTTAAAACTTCTAAATCAATTAAATACCTCAAAATATTAATGGGGTTTGTCCCATGTGACATAAGAATGATTTTATAATAGGTATTCGATGAATGAATTTGTTTCAATAACACAAGTATACGGTCCTTTCGTCTCTGTTGAATGTAATGTTTTCGAAGCCTTGGGGTCGAAATGTTTTAGATACCGTTTTTCGAAAAGTAGTATAAAGTGGTCTTGTACATCAAGAACGCTTCGTGTGGCTTAAATATTTTTTTCAAATATTTGATTAAATAAAATGTTTTACACACAAATCATCAAGGGAGGGGCACCTTTAAGTTACCATCAACAACAAACAAGTGACACAGATTAGGTTCATCTGGCTTTATATATCACTGATGCTACAGGGTATTGGGGAAGCAAAAGGAGCTTGACTACCAATTGATCTCTTTCAATTCTTTATTCCTTTAATTTCAGTTAGTATATAAACATTCAATATTCCTTTTTATGGAGTTGGTAACAGTTGAAAGCAATTTTACCTAATGTTGCGTACACTATATCACGGAAATGTGTTAGAGAAACCAGATTTAGAACATAACTCTGGACGCATTAGTGTACAATGTGCTTCAACTAAGGAACAAATAAGTCCAATGATAGATAGCTTGTCGCCGAATCATCGCCTTGCGTGTCACAGCCACCTAAAGTCGGGAACAATTATCGGATTTCAGGAGCTGTATTAGACTGTCCCCTGCCGTTTGTCATTGTCAATCCGAACTCACGTTCTTTGAAGCAATACACAGTCTCGAGAAGAAGCGCCACTAAATGACATTGACACGAATTCCGCTTCGCATCAATATGAAACATGCCAGCTTCTGAAACGTCGTGAAGCTTGTTTACGTCAGTCAAAACCCTCGTTGCAATACAAAATGCCTTTGGATATTGAATAACCCTTTCGAGAAATAGTCATCGTTGGAATGTTTGCTTAGCGTCTAAAATGTGGTATATGTTCTACGACCGACATCAGTCACCAGTCAGCAGACCAGTGGCAATAAAATGTCTCCCAATATTGAGTATCCGAATCAAAACATATTTTTCACGATCGTAGAAGTATGCACTTTTATATAGAATTGGCAATGGTAGAAAACCAGTATATATATGGATCGACACACCGCAAGGAAACGTTATTTAACAGTTTACTATAAAAAAAAAAGGATTTTGCTATCCTGGAATTTGATGGAAACGGAACGTAACCAAGTTTCTTTGGCAAAAAGCTATTGCAAGTAAATGCCCCCTTCTGAATTTTCGCCACTCAAATTAAGTGTGTCTTCCTAGTAGATCAGTATTCATCTTTAGATATGGATAGACAAGATTTATTGTTAAGTGTCTTGTTCACGGATAATATGACTTTTGAAGTGTGAAAGACGTTTCGAACCTATGTCATCTACATCAGTTGGCAGATGTACTATCAAGTGCGTTTGATGCCCCCTTGCACAAATTGTATGCTAGATTAATTAACAGGCGTCAAACGCAAGTAAATATACGGATTACCGAATAATACTATAAGGAACATTTTTGGTATTGTGTCACTATTTTGCCAATTATACATTATCGAAGAACTGTATGGACAGAGTATTCCTCAAGAACAATATTAGTTAACACATTTTCACCCGATGGTTTTGCGATAATTTGTTTATTCAGAAACAGAACAAAAGGAACGCGCCGTAGTTTTATCTTTATATTATAAATCAATTTGAACATCTGCCAATTCCTTACTATGTATAAAGCCGCGACACAACTTCTCACCCACCGCCATTTGGAATCGAACCTGCACCTAGCAACACACCGGAGCTCACAATCTGTAGACCGGGCTGGTTTTCTATATATAATGTGGTCTGATTCATCAATACAATCAACCGTTACAGAATATTCAGTGTTAAAAATGTGTTGTCACTTGCATACAATATCAATTATTAACAACGCTACGAGTTTTGTTTATTCATCTAAACCATATATTTTGTTTCATTTAATTCAACAAAAATAAATCACCCAATAGTACAATGTGATTACCCATACCCATTCGGTACATCAGTTCACTAGTACGCGTTCTTGTTACGTAAAGAATGACAAACAAATCCTCAGATTTCAATAACACATTCTTGAACGTTTGATTTACGCTTTATTCCGACTGTATAGTAAATAACAGAGTATACGTTGTTTGATAGCTTTTGGAACTCGTGACGATTTGCAACAGTTTACATACAATTGAACAGCTGTTTTGTGTTAACGAATGTGTGAACAGAATTAATGCATCCTTTGTTTTGTCTCGGGGATAAGCCCAGCCAACAAGCAAATGTCTAGATTAAATTGGCCAGTAGTGACAAAGTAATTACAAGGAGTGGCAAAACTCGCAAAAACTATTCGCTGACAAATGAACACTAACTTCACTTTGGAGTTTTGTGTGACAATACTACAGATTAATCGAAAGCGTCATTTACGTTTAACAGAAAGAAAAAAAACATTTTCGCTTGACAAAATTGATTCCAGTTTAGTAGATTGTACATTTCATGTCTGTCACGGAAACTGACATTATGTTTGCTTTTTTAAAGTGTTACTTACCTCCTATCACGATATTACATGTATATAAAAGAATAAAGACTGCCGACTTTTGCAAAGAGGCAATACCATACGAGCAACAGTATTAACCACGTAATCGTAAATCTATGAACACTATAAATTCCAACTGTAACCTTTTCAGTACTGTATCAGAAGTAAATAAGTTGCATGTAAGCAAGTTTGGAAGATAAACAACAAAGATTTAAGAAAGTTCTAAAATTAGAGTGATTTAGTTTCGATTAGCGTAAAGCAGAAACCTTACAATATATAAGATTGAAAAACACAAATTCTGTCAGCATGTAGATAAAATAATGCATTTCGTTAAAGATATGCATCCGCGGAAAAAACTGTCCTTGACGGGGAGACATATTTATCTTTCATAAGTGTCAAATGATTTAAATTGTTATCACACAATTGTTATAAGAATACACTCAAAAATATTTTCCAAACAAAATGTTAAGTAATAAATCATTAAAATCGGTATTAATTATGGTACATCGATTATTTGGGAGTGTTTGAATTATCAAATATGTATTTCTGTGTTTTAGGAGGAATTTCGCCGCCTTTACACCCAGCTCGAGTTCTTAAAGCAACGGAATATGAAAATTGGAAATAGACATCTCCAACATAAACTTTCCGCAATGACAGAAGCAGCTCAGAAAGAGGATTCACCCAATTCTTCACCGTCTTCCCCAAATATGAATGGAAAGAGGGTAGTGATCAATTTAGACTCGTTCAAGGAAGCCACAACATTATAGCAGATCTTTCAACTCGAGATGTCATGGATTGGTATCTGTGTTTCTAGGAGGGAACATCATCGTGTCTGTATATGTTAAACTCTGTAAACGTTGGATGTTTTAGTACTTGTTAAGTGCTAACAGAATATGCATTTGTTGTGATACGAGTTCATTGAAAAGACTCCGATTTCAATATTATAAACAATCATGATATGTAGATACATGTTGGGAAGTTTCTGTACCCTTCTTTAAGTATGTGTTAGTAAATATTAGATAATTCTACAATATTTAGTTCCGAAATATATATGAAGAAATTGATGTTTCAAGGAAACTGGGAAAATCAAAAGAGCATACATAATGCTAACCATAGGTATCAGTGGACAAAATCTAACATAGTTGGATGGTATCAATTTCTAGTATTTCCAAACATAAATATTTATTTTCAAATTCAATAGCGATGGTATTTGATCGCGAATACAATTTTTTCTCGCATAAATATGTCTCTTTGTTCCTTGTTAATCTTGGTAAGTGTTTGCGAAGTGAAGGGATAACAAATGCAGGTACAAATCTTTGATTGTACCTTCCACAAAGAAAAATCATCGTGAACTTCATTTAAAGCACATTCTTTAAAAAGGGTGTTCACGAAAAAAACCCACTAATGTTTGACGATAACTTGAACATTTCTTGTATCTTACTGCAGTTCTTTCACATAGAAGGTAGAATATGAGTTACCTTCATGAATCCAAATTACAAACTTTTACTGTTTTTAGCAAACAAATATATATTTATGAAACGTATCCTTCATATAAGGTAACGATACCAGTGAATTAAGCACTACCATGATAAAATTACGCAAGCAATATCCATTTAAACGGAGATTCATCGACAAAGTCTTTCTTTGATGGTTATAAGCATAAACATGAATAAAAAGACAGACAATCTTCTATCGATTGGCGATTAATTAACATAGTCTCTTATTGATGGTTGTGAACATAAGCATTCTTCAATGCTCAAATATTTGAAAAAATACTACAATTATTAAGCACATGCAACTTTAAGTACATGTGAAATTATATAAAACAATATTCTCAGAATACCAGACGTTTTCCTGTTTTTTTACTGTAATTAACGCAATTTGGATAAAATACGTGACCTCTTGACTTCGCGTTAATGATACGCTTTTAAGCATAATAAAGTGGGACTGCATTACTTACAATCTGTGACCGTTTTCGTTGGGGTAACAGTTTCGAGTTAAAAAATTAGAATCATTCAAATTCATTTGCAAATTAGCTGCAATCTAAATTTGAAACTATCCATCGAAAGGAGATGTGTCCGTTTAATATATTCGCAAATCTTGCAATTGCAGTGACGTTGAAAAACAATCATTTGCTATTTCAACATTTATTAACACTTAGTGCTAAAATTGTTTTATACAATGGAGAACATTAAGCGCAAAAAACGAATAGATATCATAAAAACAGATAACGATGGTTCATTGAATCTTTGAAAGGGTCCCATGTGCTATTAGAAAATATTTGGTTTACACAAGTGATAGCACTTAGAAATACATTAAAGACGTGAATGAGCTACTTGACAATTCTATGATAACATTTTGTATGTTTCCACATTTACCGCATCCTCGATACTCCAGGAGTTACGCTCACGTTCGCTCTCTGCGCCATGGAATATGTCATTGTAAAATTGAAGGCACGCGGCTAGCTATTTAACTGGTCCCAGGTAGAAAAACCTGACCAATTGCTAAGCTCATGACTGTTCTTTGAACATAACAGAGGAGCAACACCCGATTTCAACGCTATTCAATTTTACCGTTACGCGGCTGTGAGATTCTTGTGATGTACATCAAAAAACCAAACTGGTCTTTTCGTCTCACCCACAAGGTGGTAAACACTGAGCCTTCAATTTTGCTATGACAAATTCTAGGGTTGCAGAGAGCGTAACACCTGGAGGATTGAGAATGCAGTTACCTATTGATATATTTCACTCTTATCCTTCCAAAGCACATATAACACGCCATTCAAGCGATATAGCTATCAATATTTTGTGAAGGGAGACAACTCCTACACAAACAACAGATGTTATGTTTAAGGTTGCATATCTCCTAAGTCAAAACGATTTTAGACATTGTCTGCCCAAAAACGAGTCAGTGCATGATATAACTAATTGATGGTTCATTTGATTCATTGTATATCCATTTAAAATTTATTGTATCAAAATGTATGAAAAGAAAAATTATAATTCATAAATAATATACATGTATGTGTACATAAAAGAATGAAGATTGACGATCCAAATCTGTCACAAGTTTGCATTCGTTCTAAAAAATGCTTTTCTCTTCTGCGTGAAAGCAGTTTATGTTTTTATAAGGTAATGAAAGAGTAACATTCTGGATCTTATAACGAATTTACGTTCGTTCATAAGTATACTTTCCTCTTCTGCTGGAAGCATTAGATTTAAATCTGTAACAAGTAAGGTGCTGTTCTACCTTCTATTATCATGATGAATAGAAGGCAACTACCGAAATAAATTTAAATGTGTTTGTCTAACACATTGAACTAGGTTCAAAGTGTTAATATATTGATTTGTGTAATTCATTTAGATATAAGTATATTAACTTTTGCATTAAAATGATGTTTTGCATGTTATCGCAAATTGCAAAAAGTTGTACTGTTTTAAGGCTTATTTACACGGGTCTAAATTTTCGCAATTTTTACCCAAAATTAGAAAATTAAATTTACGCGGAATATCATTTTGCCATCTAGATATGTGAAGGAACTAAATTTTTCGCGGTGTTTTGGCACAGACGGGACAGTCGGCATATAAAGTGTCAAAAAGTCAAACAAATTGGCTTTATGATAGCATATTGAGCAACAACAAATAAGTGTATTTTGTTGAACAAATCATCAACAAAACTATAAGATGTTTGATATAATTTGTTTTCAAACACCATTACTCTTTATTTATATGAAACGTCACAACCACATGCACACTATTACATGACTGCATTACGGTTATGAAGTTAAGTATTGCAGCTCATTTAACGCTGCGGATTGCGACCACGTTATTGACCCGCGAAATCGCGAAAATAGCATCCTGCTACAACATGTATTGACAATACATAAAAAATATAACATGGTTATCACAACTGTATCAACAGCAAACAACACGAGAATACTCAAAATCTGCAACTAGGGCAAAATATGAATTAGGGAAATATTTGCATGGGGACCCTTTAAAGTTACAAAAATAAGACCAGGTGTTCTGGAAGGATAAGCGTTTTTTCTGCTTCATTTTCGACACCCGCCATGTATGTCTTGGTCATATTGGGGAACTGTGGTAGTGACAATAAATCAACAAGACACACCAATGACCATAACTTAATACATCGATCTTCATATCACAAAAAAATACATGATATATCTCCCCAACATGCCGTCAATGTGGTATGATATGAAAAGTTACCGTTTGTATCCAGTATTCATGAATCAATGCAAGAAAAGTAGCCGTAAAACATTGTCAAGTAAAGAAATACAAAAATGTAAGCAAACCTAATTTTGTCATATTATTAGTATGACATTGACTTTACTGCAAGATAGACGAGTAACGATCCAACAAATAAGTTTTCAGGGAAATATCATCTGACGTCATGAACGTGTTGTCCTTTTGGCAGGACAATCAAGATCAACTCAATTACATTTGTGTTTATCCTACATTAACATCACCATCCGCGCTAACATCCAGGTGAACAAGAACGGTAAATAAAAGTTGAAATAACTGCTTTTATAACTGTTGTAAAATAAATAATAAAGTTTTCATTTAATGACATGAGAATATAACGGGATTATTATAAAAGTTTGAAAAGTGTGTGTATATATACAAGGACGTTTACTTATATCATTTTATATATATTCTGCGATTTGATATGCTAAATAAACGACAAATTTAGCATATTTGCAAATTTATTGCTCCTAAAAATCGTTTAATTTATATTGAATGGTGATTGTGTCGAATACTTGATCAAGATGTATTGTTTAAACACCACGGTGCTATGTACAGACTTCATTTGTATATATGTAATAACGCTATAATGATTAAGAAGTGTGTATCTACGAATTTGCACTAGTTGTGCATGCTATATCAAGGTGTATAGTTCGTCAATTGTAAACATCATTAATACGAACACTGATATATTTCATATATTACGTTGATCACGATGGTTTCATGACTTTTATGTTTAGTACTTTAACTCTGATATGTCGAACACAATGTTGTATCTACAATTTAGTTGATATCATAGAAAAATGGCTCATATAACGAGGTTTGAAAAATCATTGATTTCACCATTAAATAACCTTATGATTTTAATACCCTGTTAATGAGATATATGAAGATGTCATCGGTGTACGTAAATACATTCTATGTCGGTTATTTCGAAGAAGTTATCCAATTAATGATTTAGACATAACACAGTTCTTCTGATGTCAAGGTTGTATTATGCACAAGCAAACGTTATCATGATATATAACATTTTCATAACTTTGATGAGATGTTTTCTAAGTCATGTAATACACAATGAAGTATACTGCACATCAAAATGACAAAAAAATATTGATCAAATATGTAAGTGAATGGTAATGAAATTTATGCATGCCTTCTGAACTTAGATCAATATCAACTGAACTTAAACTAAAGGAAGTTGATGGATGTTTCGCATGCAATTGAATGTTTTGATATCTGAGTGTGAACGGAAATTGACACCAAAGTGTTGAGAGTATATAGGATATTTATGACCAAATATGTAAACAAGAATAATTAATATATATGTAATGTATATTATGGAAACTACAGTAGAGAAATATTGTCATTCTAATAAATTCAATTTTTCTCACACTATTGTCATCTTGCAAATGTGTCGACGTAATGTGATTGATTATGTCAATAGATATACATATGTATATATATATATTAAGTTTGTTTTATTACGTCAGAATGACGTCACATCATGCATACAATCATATTTGTGTAATAATCAAATGAAATCATTTGAAATAAAAATTCCCATATGCTTTTTTCAAATTTTTGTGTTTGTGATGAGATGTTAATAAAAAGCAGGTGTAAAATGTCTAGTTTCAAAACTGAAAGAAATTTGAAGAAAACAGAAACCGCAAAATCATTAACGCAGAAAAAAACCACGATGTCAACATCGGTCTTAATGGTCACCAAAAGAAACCCTTGAAACTTCAATATAATTGTAAGGAGTTGTTCAAAAAAATACAAAAAAAATACAAAAAAAATTACAATAAAACAAGAGAATGTA